CAAGGCACACGCCCAGTTATGAACTCATTGTTCATTGCGTTCAGTGATGCCCAAAGCTATGGCTTCCTCCCAGATGCTTAGAATCCTCCTAGGCAAGATTCACTGTGCACACCTGGGGTAATTTTTAGCATAAGCAATGCTGCTTAATAACTGCTGGTATTTCCTTTTTTTTTTTAGTACCAGCGATTGAACTCAGGACCTTGTGCTTGCGAGGCAGGCAGAGGAACCACTGAGTTAACCCCTCATCCCAATCCCCGGGCCCAGGGCATCTACTTCTATCAGGTATGTCAGGGAACAGACCTGGAAAGGTAACTAGGTCCCACATCTCATGTAAAGGGAAAGAGATACTGTCAGTCCTTTACTATGTTCAAAAAAAAAAAAGAAGGGGCTAGGGATTTAGCTCAGTGATTCCACTGCCTGCCTTGAAAGTGCAAGGACCCGAGTTCAATCCCCGGTACCAAAAAAAAGAAGAAGAAGAAAGAGAAATCCAAGAAACACTGCTATCAACCTAGACAGGGGAAAAAAATAAATTCTGGGATCACAGCTGTGGAGTGGGTGTGGGAAGCAATCTTCTCAAAATTAACCAATAATAACCAGTATGCATTAGAAGCTTCTGTAACAGGAAAAAGAGGCAGTTAAGAACTTCAGGAAAACAAAAAGCTGGCTAACACAAAGCCATTTACATGTGGAGTAATTCTGAGCATTCACAAGAAAATCTAATCTATTTGATCTAAACACAGTACAATTCCTTCCAGGGGGCACATGCTTAGGGATACAGAATTTTTCCCCTACCAAAGATCTAACTAATTACTAAATATGTTGTGCACAATGTTTATACGATCAGAATGTTGAAATAAATTTTTTGCAGTTTTCCCTCTTGACCACAGTTAACACATGGAAGATGTAACTTTAACTTACAGAACAAAAAACAAGCATCATAAAAGTAATGTCAATGTGGTTGGACAACAAAGAGAAGACTGTAAGTAAAATGAGAAAAGAAGGGTGATCATTTCTTTATCATCAGTAGGAAGTCAAGAAATTCTATCCATGACTAACAAATAAAACAAAGAGGTTTAAGTATATTGTTTAATTTTAAAAGATACATAATAGCAGAACTAAAATGAAAAACAACAAAAATGAGTGGTTCAAGTGAGCTAAATTTCTCATTTTTAAGAGTATAGCTGATAATAGAGGAATACAGTATTATTTATAGTTGAGAAGTTAAAAAAACTTTTAAAAAGCAAAAAGTTACCTAAAAGTAGAACAGAAGAAGGTAAAATTTTATCTTTTGCTTATTTTATTTTTTGAGACCAGGTCTCTATGTATTCCAGGCTGGCCTTGAACTCACTGTGTACCTCAAGCTGGCCTCCAGCTCATAGTGATGCTCCTGCCTCAGCCTCCAGAGTGCTGGGATTACCAGTGTACAACACCATGTCCGGTGTGCTTATGTATTAATTTTTCTATTTATAATTTTAAAAATTATTTTAATAAACAGATTTAGGGCTCAACAATTTAGAGGAGAGAAAAGGAATCAGTGACTGCAAAGTGAGGTCTTTTGACACAGGCTCCAAGTACAGCCGAAGGGCTCAGGAGAGCTAGAAAGGAAAGAAACCACCAGGCCCCCAACCTATCCCACCCCACCCCAAGGCTGAGAGGCTAAGAGAGACCCCAGGGCAGCTCACTTCCTGAGGATGTTTCAGGGAACAGAAGAAATCTGATCCACTTCCTGACAAGGTAGGACACTAGCATAAGGCAGAGGTGGAGCTCTAAAGGTCTGTGTGATCTGTAGCATGATTCTCACTTCAATCAAGAATGGACTACAATTCTTAAAGCTAACAGAATCCTCTCTTGAGGTCTGCTCTGAAGTGTGTACTGGTTAAGAAGGAAGCTTTTCTTTTATCATTTGCATATCATCTCCTGCAGCCTAACTTGAAAATGGGAGGTACAGTAGTACATTCAGGTTATGCCCATAAATGTAAAATCATAACCCGTGGATGTGATACTTGCCTTTTTACAAATCTTGTTTTCTAAGTATTGTTCATCTATTTGTAATTAATATATTTATTACTGCCACAGCATCTGAGTTGTAAAACACAAAGCTAAAAACATAAATTATTTATATCTATCAATGAATGGAAACACCCTAAAAAAGATGTTGGTGACAATGCAAAGCCATTGAGAGATGATCTAATGAGTGAGTGGGTTTTTAAATTTTAGACAGAATTAACGAAACACACAATCATTCCGCTATATACCTGGTCAATAGTAAACCAGCTCTTGTTTAAAAAGCACCTTTCACAGCAGCTTCAACAGAGGAGATGAGGAAAACCCTTATTACATACAAATGACAGAAGGCCTGGGCAGGGCATGCCAAAGACAGCAAGCTTTGAGGAAGTACAGTGTCTGGTCTGGGCGCTGCACCCTCGATAAACAAAGATTCTGGAAATAAATATGGCTGCCTGCTTGCTTATGGGCCTTGAAGCCTTCTGACTGCATGAAGGGTTCCAGATACCTGGGGCTCAGTCAATACTTTAGTCCTCCATTTCGTCACCTGGCTTGGCTTGGATGCTCTTCAGCAACGCCGTGGTACCAGGAGGTAATGTGAGACAATGGAAAGAGCTCCACACTTAAGTCTTAGCTCTGCCCCTTGGAAAAGATACTTATTCTGAGTTTCATATTTGTTTTCATAAAATTACGACAATATGCCACAAGGGGCTTTGTATTCAGACAAAATGAGATTAAATAGATAAAAGTACTAGAATGCAAATTAAGAAATGATTCTTAGCTTTCGTAACACTCCTGGCTGTGGTGACCACGAGATTTATGCTTCACTGAGAAGTGGTTACTCAGCCAGGAACTGGCAACATCTCCCAGCCACCTGATCCCATAGTGTGGCAATGTGACCAGCTGTCCCCAGAGGCCTGTGAAAGGCAAAATGTGTATTATACCTAGGCCAGAACCAAGTGCTTTTCAGAACCAAGTGTATGTATGTTCTCTCTTCTTTCCTGACCTGCCAGTGAGAAGCAGATGATACTGATGAGGCCTTAAGTGACAGTGGAATGACAGGAAGGAAGTTGCACGGGTTCCTCATTCAACTGTGGGAAGAGAAAGGGAATGCTCACAATGACGCAGACAGACACTCTTGTGCTGAGCCACTGAAATACCGAAGACTGCTACAATAGCAAGTTTTGCCGAATCAATGCAAACAGGCTGTTTGAAAATTGCTGTAGTGCTGGTGATGATGTCAAACACTTGTCCAACAAGGCATCAATGCTATTAAGAATGCTTGGCAAAATAAGCTCATGAAAAGATGTTCAGCATCACAGACATAAGGGAAACGCCAGTGAAATCGACAGGGATATGCCACTGCACTCCCACTAGGACGGCTGTGATGAAAACGATGGGCAGATAATGTGAGAAAATAGACCCCTCACAAGTCGCAGGTAGGAATGCAAAGTGGTACAGCTGCTATGGGAAAGTCCAGCAATGCTTCAAAAAGTTAAACACAAGTTACCACATGACGCAGAAATTCTAGGACAAGGCATACACACATCCAAGAGAACTGAAAGTGTATGTTCAGATAAAAAATACATAAATGTTCATAGCAATATTATTTGCAGTAGCCAAAAAGTGGAAACCATTCAAATGTGCTTCAACTGATGAATGGATTAAAAAGTAGTCATTTGGTGGAATATTACTCAGTGACAAAAAGGAACAAAATTCTGATGATAGGCCTGGAAAGCATTATTCCAAGTGGAAGAAGCTAGGACTAAAAGGTCACACACTATATGATTTCATTTCTATGAATGTCCATAACAAGCAAATCCATACAACAAAGTAGGTAAGTGGATGTGAGAGCTAAGGAATTGGGAGGAGCTGCTGATATAAAGATATCTTTCTGGGTAATGAAAGTATTCTGGAACATTATGAGTGTGCTAAAAGGGTGGATTTATGGTATGTGAATCTGTCATGCTCCCCAGCCAAAGGCCGTTGTGTTGAATGAAGGCCTGGTCGCCAGAATACAGTGCTAACTGGGTAACATTTTGCCTTGTAGGAAGTAAGGCTGCCTAGAGGAGTAAGTTAGGGCACCGTGGATGTCCTTGAAGGGTATACTAGGACTCCAGATCCTTCCTCTGTTTCTCTCTGCTGGCCTCCTCTCTCCCGCTACAATGGACCATGCCACAACAGGCCCAAGAAAACAGGGTCGAGAGACCATGGATAGCAGCATCCAAAATTGTGAGCCCAAACAAATCCCTCTTCTTTATAAGTTGATTTCCTCGGATGTTTGTCATAACAATGGAAATCTAACATAGAATCATAATTTCCAAAAGAAAAGGAAATCATAGCTATTAGCTCTGTCTTGACCCTCTGAGAATCTGTCTCTATACAAAAACGCACTGAGTTCTTTTCACGTACCATAATTCTAGGCTGGTCGGAACCCACAGAACCCTTCTCTCCCAGCTCTTCCTACAACCAGATAGGCTCAAACAGATCTCTAGTGCCAAATGCATTAAATGCCTCTGTGTGCCTAAAAAGAACCCAAGCACAAGGTTTTCCTTCATTTAGGTAAGAGCATCGCTAAAACTGGGATGAGATAAAGTTTTAGCTAACCCTAAGAATGATACGGGGGGCAGATATAAGACAGAGCCTCAGAATATCACTAAAAGAAAAAAAGAAGGAAAAAAACTCAAGGGCAGTGTATGATGTGAGAAGGGTTTGAGAAAGAACTGCATAAAGATCTTTACACTGTTCAGGTACAGCTGTCATTTCAATGGTGTGAATCAAGTTCAAATCATAAGATAAAAATTATTTGGTCTCAAGAAGTAAATTGTCATGTAAGTACTTACTACTCAAAACTCAAGGAGCACTGGAATATGTTTTCAACCTTCAGGTAAGAATTTAATTTGGTGGCTCCATAAACTTTCACTGTTCAGAACCTGGGAACCCACCAGGAAGACTGCCTTTGCATTAGAATAAAGCCCTGAGAGGGCTTGACTTACTTGCAGGAGATTTTTGTTCTGTCAGCCACCATGGTCCACTGCTGCTGGTTGGTAGAAACTTCAACATAGTAGCTATAGCTTCGATCATCACAGTCCCAAAGTAATAACCTGAACACAGAGAAAAACATCATTTCTGTAAATGTTCCAGCTGGCACGGGGCTACAGACACAAAGTTAGGGGGTGTCTATGTCTACCTCCCACCTCCCACCTGCCTCTTGCCCTACACACTTCCAGTTCTGGGGAAAGAAAGCAAATCCCAACAAAAGTTTAAAGAAAACAGTTGAAGTCAATCTGCAGCTCATCTCTTTAGATTATTTCACCAGTCACCCAACTTCAGCAGCCTCTGTCCTCCTAGTAGCCAAGTACTGGAGATTGGATCAGGAGGGAACAAAGGTCCCCATGTTCTTTCCCAATTTCCACACCTCTCACCTCCAGTTGGTAGGGCTGGCAAAAGGAGAGATGTCTCAGAGACTACTGCTCATGGAGGAGTCTGTGCTTTCTAACTGGTACTAATGAGCAGGACCTTCATTTATCATGTTTTAGGTTCCCTCTTTCTAGAATTTTTGCATAACTTTGGTAAAAACTATTTGATTTGGAGATACAGTCATCTCCCACTATCCATAGGAGATTGGTTCAGGACCCCTCAAAATGTGCAGATGCTCAGGTCCCTTACAGAGAACGTATATAACCTGTGTATATCCTCCTGTACACTTCAGATCACCTGTGGGCTACATATAATATGGAACACAAAGTAAATGCCATGTAAGTAGTTATTATAGTTTAAGGAGAGAGCAACAAGAAAAAGTCTGTACATGTTTAGCACTCTCAAAAACACTTTCTAAAACTTTTGATTAGATGAGATCCACATGCAGAACATACACAGAGAGGGTCAACCATATAGGCCAACATATTTAGTAAAACTTTGTTATTCAGTGTTTAGGAATTCATATCTTGATCCTATTCTTATTCTCCTTTTCTGCCCAGTAAGAACTCAATCACTGATTATTTGATTCCATTTACGTGAAGCCCAAAGCCAAAATTTATCTATTGGTTTCAGAATAGTAGTTACCTCTGGGGAAGGTACTGATAGGGAAGTGGTGTAATGGAACATTCTTGAATGCCGAAACTGTGCTAATTGTCATACTTGAGTGGTAGTTACATGGACATATACACATACAAATAACCACCAAGTTATACATAAAAGATCTGTACAGTCCCTGTGACTTGTGCACCTGTTTAAAAAATAATTTAAAAAACAACCTGAGCATTGCAATACAGGATCTATATTTTGCTTCATACAGTGCCACAAAGGAGGTATCACTTTTCCCCATGATTTCAGCCGTAAAAGTTTTCTGTACAAGATGTGTGCAGTATCTTATTGTCTCATAGCTGGTCACATGCATTTGCTTTCTCTGTCAGCTAGAATTCTGAGCCTTCTAAGTCAGTGTCCATACTCAGAATTTAGCACACTTACACTCAATGAATGTCTGCTGGGCAAAGAGTGTGGGCAACAAGCATAATGAGTATGATATCCTACACGTTTCTAATGCTGTGTGTCAGGGTTTGAGTCCTTTTAAATATCCTATTAGCAAGTACTATTTATCCTCATCAAATTATAGATGGTGGCTGAGATTAACTGAGTGAGTAATACAAGATTCCAGCTCATCATCCTGACCCAAAACCCAGTTCTGTAACCCCAATGCCAAATGTTCCCTTTACTCCCAGTTTATGTACATGGGTCATAATTTTCAACCTGTAACCTACCACTGTATAAAAGTAGTTTGTATCATTTCCCCCTAATCCTGCAATTATAATCACTGCAAACCCTTTGCACAAGTCAGCTTAGTGTCACTGAGCTACTACTGCCCCTACGTTCCTCTTTCCCCTTAGTTCTGCTTTCAATTGCAGTTCTGCTGGCTATGTAGTAATAAACGATTACTACCAAAATTAGGAAAATATTTCTTATTCTCTTCATTTAATAGCTCTGGTAACAGGTTTGCTGGGGGACGCTGTTGAGGCTGTTTTCTCCATTCAGATTCTGGATTATTTATAAAGAGTCACAGTTGTCAAACCTCTGTCTTTCCAGATAATCAATCATGAATCTTTCTGGAAGGTATCAAAATGAAAACAATCAGTGCCTTTTGAGATAAATCCTAACCAGATCTTAAAATATTTCACAGGAAATGACTGCCTCAAGGACATGGGATACAGAGCAGATTAAAAAGGACGACCAATTATGAATATCACAAATGACATAGCACAGATTAAGACAGCATATTCCAAGAATTTGTAAAGTTGTGCTTCACATGCTGTACAAGTAACTTATTCTATAAAGTTCTCCAGTTTAAGGAATTCGTTAGTTAAAATAAAGGTCATTTGTAATTCCAGTATTGTTATAAATACATGCACACAGTGCATAGGCATTGTAACTTGCTTATTTTGTTTAATGATCTATTATTGTATTATCAAATGTTTTTCTACATTGTATCTGATAACTTTTTTTTTTTTTTTTTTTTTTTTTTTTTTGTACTGGGGATCAAGCTCAGGACCTTGCGCTTGCAAAGCAGGTGCAGCACCATTGAGCTAAATCCCTGGCCATAGTATTTCACAGTATGGATATTCTCTAGTTTAATTGGTCTCATCATTAGACACACATGTGTCCAACTGATAATATTCAGTGTCCAATTGGTAATATTTAGTGACATTTTTGATGAACATTTTTAACTAAAGCTATGATCATTATCTTTGAAAGTCTAAGTAAAACTCATAAAGCAGGGCATACAAACATTTGGGGGTTTTGGAAAAACAGCTGTACATCTCTGTTCTCCCCATCCTTTCAAAAAACTTGAACCAAGTTATATCACACTACCAGCAGTAACAAATAAATGCCTGTTGCTGTGTACTGTCACCGATGTTACCCATTATCTTCAAATATAGTTGGCCTGGGGAGGTGGCATAAGTCTTTAACTCCAGTTGCTCAGGAGGCTGAGGCAGGAGAACCACAAGTTCAACTCTAGACTAGATAACATAGTGAGCCCTTATCTCAAAATAAAACCTTAAAAAAGGGCTGGGGATATAGGTGGTAGAGTGCTTGCCTAGCAAGTGTATAGTCCTGGTTTTGATCCCCAGGGCTGAAAAGATAAGAGAAAGGAAAAGGAAGGGAGGGGACAGAATGGGAGAGGAAGGAGAAAATAAGTTACAAATATTGTTAATTTAACAGATGATACATATTTCATTAATTTGCAGGTTTCAACTTGCCACTGAACTTGAACATTTTACCTATTTTCTACTTATATGTATCCTTTTGTTAATGACTTATAAAATGTCCTCTGTATCTAAAGGATATTAATTCACTGCCTATCAGAGTCTGCATGCTGAAGATATTAATTTTTATTAGCTGAGTCTATCGATCTTTACCTCAATAATTTCTCCTGGCCTAAATTCTTTTCTTCTGAACAGCAGCCAAGTGCACATACTGGATGAGACATCATCTCTCTGTTCCTCTGTTAGGAGCCCCCGGGGGCTTGGAACATGGGATCACCTGACACCTGAGTGGGAAAGGGACACTGATGGGCCTCAGGGCATCAAAGCTAGGGCTCAGACTTACACTGTGGAGTTTTTTTGGTTTTTTTTTTTTTTTTTTTTT